GTCAACAGTCAGTTTGTTTGTTCACTTTGTATGAAGATTTTTGGTATTAATTTTTTTCCCAATCCATAGTTATTTTTGGGTTTCAGTTTTAAAACATGATAAACTTAATACTTAAACGATTCATTAAGAAAAACTAGATGAGCATACGCACGGATTTTTCCACAAATGTTTTAGTGTAAGTTTTATATACATATCATATTTATTTTCATGTTTAACTAGAGGATATCCCGGCCTACGCCTGGGTATATTATTTATAGATTTGTTTGATATTTTGGTTTAAATAAAATTGTTTCATAAAAGTGTTCGTGATTTTGTATATACAAAAAAAAAATAAACATCATATATAAAAAAAAATCGATAAATGATAAGTTGGTAAGCATAAAAAATTAAATTTTAAATTGATTGAATCCTATCCTCTATATATTAAAGGAAAAATATTTTTGGATTAATTTGCTTAGGTGTCAAGTTCTATTTTTTAAGAGTTTTTAATTGACAATTAAATTCTATTACTAATTCTCTACTATAGTATTACCCAAACACTCCACAATCCCATTAATTTTCTACTATACTATTATCTAAACACTACACAATCATACAATCCTTACAAGTTGAAACCAAACACATTAGAAAACAATTTTTTTTAATTTATATTTTTAAAATAAAAATAAAAGAAAGTTTACTATTAATATTTATTAACTACTAACAAAATTTAACTCAATTAATTAAATAACTAATATCACACCAATTAAAAACTAACCATACACAATTAAATTAAATTTACTATTATAAATATCATCTATATATTAAGGGGATTTTGCTGAAAATGACTCAAGACGTCATTTTAAATGTAAAAGTGAAACCCTTAACTCATGTTTGGCAAAAATAACCAAAGGGTAGTGAAATTATAATTACATCACTTATGATAAAAAAAAAGATGCCACAATTACTGTTTTAACCCTCAAGAAGTCTACAACGTAACAAAGAAGTCTACTCTACTAGTAGATTTCAAGAAGCCTACTCTATTTTTTTGTAGACTTTAATAGAAGTCTACTTACTAATTACATATGAAATTTTAATTTGTAAATTAACAAAAATTAGTTTGATTAAAATTTTATATTCATGACCAAGCAATTGTGAAGTATAAAAAATAAAATTTCTCAAAATTTCACAAATTAAAGAAACAAAGATAAATTTGGTTACATATTCAAAATGAAATGAAGACTAAACATATGTTTTGATATTAATGTAGTGACTTGTTGGTAGTTATTTTGGTTTGATATTTATATTTTTATGAGTTTATGTTGTTTGATAGTTATTTTTGTGGTAGATTGAAGGATTTCTATTTTTGGATTTAGGGTCTAAAGTAAACAACTT